CATATGTGACGCAGGTCGTCTTCTCTATGTCATGTGCCACGGCGTGAGGTGCCACTTTTTCACAAAATTTCACAAATGGGTTGTCCCAACTCAACCACATGTGCCAATAGCTCACACCAATCATCTGATCATACTCAATAGACTCTAACAGACCTGTGCAATGCACCACACACAATCGAAGATACTCATATCATAAAATCACTACTCAACTCCATTTTCACAAAACATAAAGAGGGAGGAAATGTTGCACAAAATCATCAATTTCGTCCCAAGTCTTTCAAAATACACATGTTTCTACTTGCACAAGTATATTGACCCTATCTATGGGTTTACAACTAAAACTCACAACCCAAGGCACAAAATACACCAGTTATACACAAAATCATGCAAGTAGTGCATAAATCATGTCAAATGATCCTAGTTGACAATTACATTAATAAATACACATGAAAGTAACAAAAAGAGGCATAAAGAGGATTACTCTACAATCTTAGGCCTCCTTTTCCTAGGCCTCCTCTCTATAAAGAGGAATATCACATGGATTTAAACCAATTTACTCTTCTCCCTAGGCGAACTCCCGTCAATAATCATGCTATGCACATTTCTCACATAATATGCATTTCAAACAATAATTTCATGGTGAACAATCTCACACACTCATATTAAATCACTCCACACATTCAACATATTACATATCACAAATCTCCACTTTTGTAACATGTCACAAGTAAATTTTTAAATTACAAGTGACATAATTAACATTTTCTTTCCTAAAATCATTTCACAAGTTAAACATTGCCAATATGCATCATACATTTGAATCATTAATCACATTTCACAAACACAATTAACATTCAACCATAAAAGTTAAGTTTCCTCTGGTTACCTTAAACCTTTGAGAGGTCAAAGGTTTACCCCTCACTATACCAACTTCCCAAACTATACCAACTTCCCAAAGCTTTAACAAGCTCGAATGGTGACAAGATGAACCACACTATAATTATATCACAAGAGTATCATCATTGTCTCAATCTTAAAAATTTATCAACACATAACTCCACACACTCTATTATATCAACCCATAGTCACTACTCATTCATACCCAATGAGCTCATTAGGTTCCATTAATGCGCATTATTATTAACAACATCTCAAACCATCATTAATGCATATAAGCCTCTCTCAACTACTTTATAAATATCAATTTTTGGGTATTTAATGCTCCTATAGACCAACCACTTCTAAAATCATCAATGTGGTATTTTAATACCTTAAACAACTCTCATTATATTTAGTTTAACTAATGGAATCAGGCCTATAATCCTATGGACTGAAAATCTATCCTCCAACTCAAACCCTACCATAAATCATCATAAATGAGGAAAGGAAAGGAAGAAGAAGGCATAATAAACTTACCTTAGGTGTTTGGGACATTCAATCTAGCCTCAATGTGATCCCACAACATGCCCTAGTAAAGAAAAATTAGAGCTCTTTATTTTCTTCCTTTCCTTTCTTCTGTTTCCTCATGCAGATACGGACCAGATATATTTGATTTTTGGCCGTATGCCGCGACACATGGCACAGAGGAGCCTGTTGCATTTAAATTCATCTCTGTGCATCACGGTGGACTAACCATGCGCCATAGCATATGGTACAGAGGACAATTCTTCACTTTTTCTTCCTCTTTTCTTGCCCGGGTGGCCTGTAATCAATCTGAACCTATTTCTAGGGCTAAAATCACAACAATTATGCCAAGTTAAGCTCCTCTGGCCACACACCTCATTAACTCACTAATCACCCTTATTAGGTTAATAAACCAAAATTAATTTTTCTTGAATGTTACACGAGGATCAAGCTAAGGGCAAAGAAGAGGCTTATGAGGCTAGAGATTGAGTAATTAATTGTAATGTCTTTAGTTTTATCTTTTAGGTGTAATTTGAATACCATATTTGCCAACTAGGGGTCTTTCATATTGACTTTTGTTTAATTGAACTCCACTTACATTTGTAACCTTAAACATTAAATTTAGTCTTTTTTGGATTGTCTTAGCCATAGTAGAGTCCGAATCCTTAATCTGACTATGGTAGTTTTTCAAGATAATTTGAACATGTATAGTGGGACAATTATATTAAAGTCCCACAAAAGAGAATTAATTACTGTAAGGCCCATTAACAACTAAACTAAACTGCATTGACAACACAACCAGTTGTCAATGCAGTTTAGTTCAGTTGTCAAGAAACCTTATAGTAATTAATTCCTTTATGTGGGACATAACTATAATTCTCCCAAGTATATTTTAACTATTTAATTGAGTTTTACATATTTTTGGTGATTATTTAGCTTGAATGCAAATAATTACATTTTCATCCCCTTATTATGTGCTTTATGTTGGTTGGGTGGTTAACTCTTGTATTAATAGTTGTTTGATGATTGTGACTATTTAGACAAGTATATTAAAACTTATTGAGTGTGGTTCAAGCCCTTGTGTGGGCTAATAGCTTATAATTTGAGATTTGGACACTTGGTTGATGGTTTAAAGGTAAAAATATAAAATTATGGTTTCGGGTGTCCAAATTCTTCATTTGATGTCGAATTGACATGAAATTAAAACCATTAGCTAGATTATGAAATTGTTAATATGTTGGAGCTTGAATCACTTAATCAGAGGTTTGAGTCAAAAGTTATGCACATCAAAAGTTCATGGTTGGGAAGCTGTCATGACAGTTGCTATCATATCTTTGACCACGGTCAATAGATTTTCGGCTGCAGCCAAAGGACTTCCTGAGACCATTTGGCCGCAACTAAGAGAGAATTGGCTACAGCTAAAACTTCCTAGAAGTGTTGGCCGCGGCTTAATGTTTTCTAGTTGCAGCCTAGTGCCCTTGTTAAGCAAAAATGATCTTTTTACCTCATTTTTACTTGTTTTCAACTCTAATTATTTTTCATGCTTCCCAAATACTTTTAAATTTGATTTGTAATAGCTAAATAACCTTTTAAACTCAATTTTGAGATTTAATGATTTATGGGAAGCCATCTTTATAGGGTTTTTTTACTTAATCTTTTTAAATTTTTATACAGTCAAGGTTGATCCTTTTCTTTTTATGACATCTCTTATTATTAAATTAGTTATAAATATCATGGTAGCTTTACCTTAAAGTTAAGTATGTGCTAATTTTGTGTTTAAAAATTAGAGGTTTTACAATGAGCACATTCATAAAATAAAGGGGTAATTTAGTTTATAATATTGAGAATAATGATTCATGAGATTTTTAAAGAGTATGTATGACAATTCTCACATTTGTAATATATATTAATGGGTTTTATTATGCTTATCATGGGAAGAAGGGTGATTTATTTTATTTTTATCTTAATTTTTTATTTCATTTCTTTATAGTAATCAAATATGACCTTAGTCTAGTACAGAATATAGGAGCTGTCAACACAGATCAAATCCTTTAAACTACTTATTTGGGTCATGAATTTTGAGTACTGGACTTATAAAAAATAAAAAGTAATTGTATAAAAGAACTTTCAAATTCTTTCTGATACGCCTTTTTAAAAGTAGGCTCAAGCTAACTCTTTTAAGTTGTATAATTTTTTTTTATCTCTCTCTCTTTTCTGGTCAACGTATGTTTAAAGTTGTTGGAAAAAAATTGTTGAAAATTATTTGAATGAAATCATTAATAGTACAAAATAACATAATTAAAGTTGTCTGGATTATTTAAAATTTTAAATTAATATATGTAGATGACAGAATTTGTTAAATTGCGTACTCTCTCTCTATTAAAAAATGTAAGGTATTTTTAACCGAATCTCACCTTCAATAAAGTAATTACCTACTTTCCAACTAACCTTATCTTTTCATATTTACCTATATTAAATATCCTATAATAAATATAAAGTTATTATCAATAGGAGTATTTTTTAAAAAAAATAATGATTACACCTCGAAAGACTAAAAATGTCTTATATTTTTTAACATCCAACTTTTCAAAAATACTTTATATTGTTTAACGGAAGGAGTATTGATATAATTAGAAATTTAAATAAAAAATTCTATATTTTATTTTTGAAATTGTATTATTCTTATTATACTTTGAAGCTTATTATTATCCTTCAAACATTTAATTCATTTCCTTTAGAGCTAATATATGTATTAACATAATTAGAAATTTAATTTTTAAAAATAATTTAAAAAAAAGCTATGCGAGCTCTCAAGCCTAACCCTGAATCCTATTAATAAAGGTCAAGTTTAAGAAAAATGACAATAGGTATTAGCCACTAGGTGACTATTTCTTTTTTATTTTTTTTTTACTCTATAACTAACTCATATTAGAATATTTTTAGATTTAATTGGAAGTAACTTCTATATTTACATGGATTCAAACTTAATCTCGCACTCAAACAATTGGTTGTCTGTTACTGCTATTATTATTTGGTACTCTGTTTATTTTGTTCATCGTGTGCCTTGTCCCTGCGTGCTTCTCGTGTTCTCGTCTTATTCCGTGTGTACACTTGTTATTTCGCCACTTGTACTGTAAGTAAATAATTAAATATTGCCACTTGTGGTGTAACCAGAGAATGAACTGCAAAAATTAAATAGAAAAAGTGATTTTGTAAATAAAAAGAACACTTACATTCACCAATAAAAGAACACCTATATCTCTAAAGTGGAACTTCACCAGTTTGATTAGGACAGGCACATTGAATTTTTTATGCAATTTAGACTGACTTGAAAATTCAGGCACTAGATGCAATATAACTCTTTGGTTAAAATAAATAAATTGCAATACATCATGCACAATAAAGAACAGTAAGAATATAAAGAAACATACTGCTATGTTCATTTGAAAATAATTTATGACCCTACTAAATTAGAAGTAAATTATCAAAAGTTTAGGAAGTAATAAACTTCATGCAACACAAACTATTTTTTTTTTCTAAAAAATTGGCCCTTCATTAATCATTGTCTTCAGTAAATAGTGTATGTGCAGAATAGATAGTATAAAAATAAAAATATTATTGACTAAAACTGTAGATTGATAAGACATTAAGAATAATAATCAATATACCAGCTCCCGCATCCAAGAAGCTATTATAGAACATATTTACAAGTCAAAAACCAAATCTACTGAAATCCCCAGCACATATAAATTCAGTGGGGCACAAAAATTATGGATCAGAAAATATTCATAACTGCAAGAGCCAGCCTACCTGCAAAATCTTCTTCTCCACTATAAATCCCAACCATCTTTCCGACTATTAAATTCCCACTTAGGACCCAAATTTCCATACATCTGTGAAAATTTAACAAGGCAATTACTTCTAAACTGATAATGCACCTGTGTGTTTTTGCTGATTGCTGCACCAGAAAATTTTGATGTGTCAATGGCCCAAGCCGGTCTCACATAATCAACTGTCCTAGATGACAGTGAACTTGCATTTGCATACAAATAATTTAAAAGCACGTCTTCACAGTTAAAATACTTGTCCACCAGATCCCTCCCTTGCTTGGCTTCCTCACCCCAATACCTCCTGAAAGCTATTTGAGAATCGATGAAAGCTGCACCAGTAAGAATCATGTTATACCCTTTATGCATTCGAGCATATTTTTCTGGCCTATATTTTAATGAGTTCCAACTGATAAGCCGGGGATAGAATCCAACAATTCGATCCGGGTGCTGACGCCATACATTAAAACCTCGCTCAACATCATCACATGTCATCATAATGTCATCATCAAGCTCAAGGACAGCCCTTGTTTTAATCAATGGATCAACCTTGAATCGATTATTCAATGAATTTCTTTCCTCTACCCTGATCCTCAATGGCACTGCCGAATCTAGATCACTCAATTTGGGAGGAACTCCCTTGTTCCAAACCACAACAATCTCTCGTACAGAAGAACATCTTGAATAATGCTTCACATACATCTTCAAGTTCCAAAGACGAGCATCATAAGTCATAGTCAATAATGTGAATTGTGAATATTGTCCTTTCCAGGGGTATGGTGCTTCAAAACCATTGCCCCCATAGATATTCTTAACCCCTTGGCAAATTAATCCAACCACTAATACAAACATTACAGCAAGAACTGACCTCCTGATACAAGTACTTTGATTGATTTTAACTCGGAGAGATGTCATTGCTCGGTTTACACAGCTCCAAAATCGTATTACTCTTGACAAGAACAAATTTGATCTTTCCCAAGACAAGAAAGCAACGTTCCTCTTCCCAGAGCTCTGCATGAATGAGTTGAGAGGAAAAATACAACTCACAAGTCCAAGTAACACACCCATTAGCACAATGAGAACAGCAGCACCTATTATTGAAGCATAGCCAGTAATGAAGCGTTGGACTAAATCCCCAACATGAACACGATCCCCATCCATAACTGCAACCCAACCACCAGATGGCAACTGTTGCACATCTAGGTGATGGTGTCGCGCACCATTCCAGGCATTTCGACCCTTTTCAGGCTCAACAAAGTTGAAGGGTACTTCAATTTCTTTGTATTCTTCACTAGTAAGAACTTCTATCTTAAAAATGCGGACCCGACTCCCATACATTTTACTAGAGTCCTGACCAATACGAAAAAGATTTCCTCTGTAGAAAAATGGCCTGCCTGCATTGTGAGCTCTCATGCTTTTGTCAATGTTATATAAGGGGCTTTTCTGGTGAGGTATCCAAGGACCAAGGGGTGAACTACTATGCCAAATCTCCAACTGCCCATTTTTATTAATGCCAAAACCACTGTAATCCGAGCCAAAAAGCCAATACCTCCCATCATGATTAATGATTAATGAATTAACAAGGGGCTTTCTCATGATAACCTTTTCCAATTTCCATTGCAAAGGAAAGTTAAGTGCTCTGTATACTCGAAGTTCACCTTTTGTACTGCTATCTGGCATCATATATATCTTAGACATGAAAAAAAAAAAGATATAAGAAAAATTATATTGTGCTTTGGATAAACATTTGAGGGAATAAACAAAGTACACGTTCACATGCACCATAACATAACAGGCATATGGGTTTTATTGGGACCATCCCTTCCACAGGCTTTGAGTAAATGCATAAAAGACTTATACTGATGAGATCCAATGAGTAGTTATGATCAAAGCCTTCCAGGTATAAGTTAACAAATTTATGGAAAAAAAAGGAGTAACTAAAATTTAGTACTCCAACTACCTAGTTGGCAAATTATGCCAAAGAATTATTCTTCATGTTTTGATGAGTAAGAAATTCAGCTTTTACCTGTCCAAGATATTCAAATACATATGGATAAGAAAGATGCCAATCCTCATTCAAGGCAATGCCTAATTGTTGCCATGTGACTCCTTCGTCAGTACTTTTTGCAACTCCAATATCTCCTTGCAAAGTGATTGAATTCTTTGTCTCATAGAACAGGAAAAAAGTACCTCCCTGAATCATGATGCCAATATAAATAAACAGAAGAATGTTATTTAACCATACAAAGGACATAAAAAGAAAAAGAAATGTGTAAACCAGATTAACACCATCTAACCATAAAGAACAAAAGGCTAATGGATGGAGTTTAGTGATAAATTATTGTGATAACCATTAGTTTGGCAGTGAAAAAGTAAATTAATAAATAAATAAATCAGACAAAAAAAATTTAAGATTTCATCCAAACAATGAAGATTAAAAAGAAGTGTCCTTGTACTTCAAAAATTTGCCACTGTTGAACCATTCCTGCAAGTTTTATTTTGCATATTTGAAAAAGGATAACCAAGATTCATGCCATTATTTTGGAGCTTCCATTAAAAATCCTAAAGTTGTGTTTGTACGAAGAATTCTTCATATTTCTATGGAACAACATCTTAAACTAAGAATATCATGTTTGGTGCAAGTTTTCTATTATAGTTTAAATATAAAGCAAAGATTATGTCAAGTTTGACCCCCCCCCCATTATGATAGGGCACCACTACTCACATACAGTAGAAAGAAGAGGAATCATGACTGACTTGGAGCTCAAATATTTCTGCTATATTTTATTATTTCAGTTATTTATTTTTGTTGAACGTGTCCTCACTTTCAAGAGGCAGTTATTCTTTTATTGAGTCTGTTTTATTCAGTTTGTCCACTAAGTCTGAAATTCAGGGAAGTGGGTAGTTTTCTAGAGTCTTCAATTATTTTCCAGCCTATTTACATGGCCTGCTCGTCTGTAGAAAGGCATTCAGAATTAATCAAGACTTTTTAGTTCTTGGAGATACTCCTTGACTTGGCTACCATTTTCTTTGAGTGAGATACTTACTTCTGAGAAACTGGTAGATTAACTCTCTTACCCTTGACCGTACCACACTATCCTTGATAGAAAAGATGCCCTTACATTGTCCCTCGGCATATAGTTTTCTACAAAATTTTGGCAACTGAATTCCAAATATTTCAGTTCTCCCATCTTATATTCACCTAATATTTATTCCTACCAATTTTTTTTTTCATTTTTTTGTTAGTTAGGAACTAAATTAATTGGGCAATCCCTACAGTAAACTTAAAATCTTTGCACCAAACATCCTCTAAGACTTCACTACTATTCTATTACAATAAAAGAAATAAGTGATACCTTCTCTTGTACATATTTGTAGAAATGGACACAAACAAGTAAAACCAAAATTATGAGTCCCTTCTGTTATTCTTATACATAAGTATCGATTAATTTTTTATTAAAAAATAAATATGAAGTCCACTCTAGGAATGACATATGATGATACTACTAACAGAGCAATCAAACAATTTAAAAACAAGAACGATTTGCAGATCTTTGTCTATTTATTTATATGTATAACTTAGTAACTCCCACATCTGTTTTCTCTGCATAGTGCCTAACTCAGTAGAGCTTGCTTGGTAGGTGCATCCAACAACTCCAAATAGTCAACATGATCCATTGGCCAAGAAAATAAATGTTTGCAGAGTGAAAAAAGTTCATACACTGATGAAAAACAGGTTTACATATATGAAGAAAGAGGGAGGGGGAGGAGAGTAGTTTAATAAGGTATTAGTATATGGAGTCAATATAACTTGTTTATTTTAATATATGTTTTAATATGGTATGAATATTTTAAATAAATGCTAGTATCAAAGCAAAGTTAGACTTACAAAATTTTGGTCTATGTTGTATTTGAGTTTGTACAAATCCATCAAAAAAAGGGAGTGACTCTACTTTGAAGATAGAATTTATTTAAAACAGTTATACTATGTTAAAACACACTATATTTCATTAAAACAAAACTTATATTAATTAACATATACAAATATTTTATCAAAACTAACCTCCCATTCCCTCTCCTTCTTGCATGTAAAAACATTTCATGTGCTGCAAAAATCATTTTCATTTTGTTTGCATTTCTTACCATGGATGTTAGAATTTGTGGACTTCTTCAATGAGTTTGTTAAGCAGATTCTGCTTAGCTAGGAGCTAAGAGAAACTAGTCATAGTAACAACCTTGTCCGTGCCAATGAGAGGTTCCCAGAGTGTGTTGAAGCCTGTTTCTCATGTATACAATTCATTGAAGCTTCTACATAGGATTTTGAGCTGACATGCTTTTCAAAGGAATATGGAAAACTAAAAGCCTGAGTCAGCCAACTAAAGATTTCACCAGTTTGCCAATCTAGCAACATCAAACTCTTCCAAAATCCCTGATCATTTTGCATCAGAGAGCATCACACCCCTTCCCCTCACCAGAAATATATGCAACAAATATTCAATTTTTTTGGAGAAGTTTAGATCCCAAATGCTCTTGGAAATAATGGTTTTGAAATCAACAAAATCTTGCCTGAGTTCAGACATCTTGACAAATAACCATCAATTCTTTTTATGGATAGGAAAGTAACTTTAGTGATGAAAGAGTAAGTTTTCAAAATAAAGATGGGGATAAGAGTAAGATGTCATCCTAAAAATTTTAATCTGTATATTAGAAACTAAAGGGATTTGAACAATTACCCAATGGTTATATTGATAGTACCTTTTATGATCCAAGATGTCTAGAATTCAACAATTTGAATTTCTAAATTCTCATCTAATTTTGTACTTTAAGTCAACAATCAGTCCTCTGTTGACTTGTCCCTCAACTTTTCAGTATCTCATTGCTTTAGTGAATTCATCAAGGAGGTGGCCCAAAGAAACTAACAGATATACCAGCTCTATAATAATTACAGGCAAAAATGAACTAACTTACACCTAAAAAAGCATATGCTCCAGCTATCAATATCAAGTCTCTCACAATTTTGTTCCATTGACATACAAAAAATTGGGAGAGATGTTCATGAAATTATATATGTAGTTTCATTATTGACAGCAAACACTGATCCAGCCAGTAGAAACACAAGAATAAGATAAAATGCTGCTAGTCATACATATATGTAGAACAAACAGCAGAAAGGAATTTTCAACAAACAGAAAACAGCAAGGAACAAGATTGATTCCATAATGTCTCAAACAGAAAATACATGAAGCAACTAATAGCGAGAAAAAAGAGCTTATATACCTGGATAAAAAGAAAAGGATCAGCTACAAAATTACTCTGAAAACCAGCATCAGAAAGTGAAGCACACGTCACGACGGGGTTAGCTACAGGCCAAGCGGCAGTTTCATTTTTCCACACATTCACCTGCATACAATTAGAATAGTCATATGCAGGGATTAGATTTCATTAATTACAATGGGAATGTTCTTCAGGATTATAATAATCAATTATGTCATTTTTAATACCTAGAAAAAACAAACAACAACTCATAATTCACATTAAAAAACGATTGACAGAATAACGACAAGAAAAATAGAACACGATTAGCCAATTTTTTTTTTATAAATAAAAAATTACAATTTGGGGAATTAAACACAAGCGAGCGCGTCTAACCGAGTATAATCAAAATTATTGCGGAAAAGGAAAACAGGCAACAGAACAAGAGAGAAAATACTTACAGCTTCGATGGGTTTGAGGGAGAAGGGAGAATCACCGTAGAAAATCCCAATTGACCAAGAACCCTCATTGTCCTTCTGGCAGCCGAACGATGACAATACCGTCCGAAAAGACGGCGTAAACACAAGCCAAACATAGAGGGTGGCAATTGATCCGAACAATACCAGACACACAAAGAAGAAAACGAAACAAGAGGAAAATAAGCGTTTGTAGAGGTGGTGATGGGATTCCAGCCTCCACCTACAAGAGCATTTGACGGTCATGTCACAGCAACTACCACTGCCGCCGCCCCCGCCGCCCACCATGTCGCCAAATAGTCACCAGAGGGAGAAACACGCGGCAGTGAATCTCTAAATAATAATACGCGGCAGAAAATGCGCATAACCAAAAAGAAACGCTCTACCGAAATCACAAAAAAGATAGACTCGGAAGGATTTTGGTTTTGGAGCCGCTGACACGATATCTCACCAAGAGCTTAAAATTTTAAATTTTAATTTCGTTTCTCTCTGCAATTTCTCCCTCCTCTGTTCTGACGGTTGAAAAGAAATGATAGTGAAGTTGGGGGAGGATTCTGGTTCACGCTTTTAATTTCCAGATTTATTTGCAATAATAGAATGTGCTATTATTATATGTAATATTTTTATTTAATAATTGTTAATATAATTATTACTAATTTATTTAAAAAGCTTCAAATGTTTATACTTTATGCAAATAAACTAACGTACAAGTATATATTTTTCAATAATTAATTTATAAAAATATTTAAAATTAATGAATATTAGTATTAGAAATTATCGATTGAAAAGCATATAATGTATAAACATGTAGATATTGATTTAATGTAATTAACAAGAGAGAATAAGATGGTAGGGCCGTGTAAAAGTCTTCGATCTTGTTTAACCCAGTCCAACTTGAGACGGTTTAGTTTTGTTTGGTTTGTATAAATATTGATTCTTTAAGACCAAAAAGATTGAAAGACTAAACTATTTTTTTGGGTTGGACAGGACAGGAGACTGAACATGTAGACTACTTGGTCTAGTCCGGTCCTACTAATTTATTTAATATAATTATAATTAATTTATTTTTGACAAATACTTTAAGTGTAATTGATACTAAGGAGATAATTGTATATACGAAGATTTGTTGAGTTTGTTTCTAAATTGTTGTTGTAATGTAATATTATTGAAGTTTGTTGAGTGGTTTTTTTATTGAAGTTATAAATTTAAATCATTTGAATTATAACATAAATATTTTTTTATTATTAGAAATTATTATGAATTTATTATTATTATAAGTATTTTTACTATCTTAATTGTATTTATTAAATTGAAATAGATTATTGTCCCTCATAGAAGAAAAAGAAAAAAAAATGCTAAGTGAGTATTGAACTAATAAGACTAATCTCTCAATCCTATAAACCAAGTCTTGTCTTGTTAATCTTAAGGTTACCATTGGACGAGATTAAATTATGGGTTGCCTAATCAATTCTTTTCATAAAAGAGATCAGGCTTTAGGTTAGGTTCAAGTCCAATGCCATCCAGTCCTTTGTCTAGTCCTATAAGATGATAAAAAGTCTCATTTTTTTTAAATTCATAATTCACAAGCATACCAAAAAAAAAAAAGTTAACATATACAACTCTAGTTAAATGTAAATAATTTTATATTTTTTATAAGGAAAATCAACTTTTAATAAAGAAAATGAGGGAATACAAAAAAAAAAAATAATAACAACTCAAGTAAATCTCAACTAACCACACTGCTTCTAGATTGATGGTGAAAGATTGAAAGGAAAATTGCAATTAGTTTTTCTTGACCCAACATATTAAAAAAAAACTTTTTAAAATTGTAAAATTTTAATGCATGTTTGAGAGATTGAAATGGAATTAAAAACTGACAGAATGACCTTATTGTTCATATGAACAATTCTTTAAAAATAAACAATTAGTGAAATTAGTTATTTATTTTTCACACATTAGTTGTTCCTTTTTTTTACATGAACTATCTTATTCATATGCCTAGCTTTGTTAAGGATAATATAATTATTCAAGTCAGCTCTTTAATTTCATTTCAATCCCCTAAATATCCAATAAAATTTCAGAGGTTTGGGGCTTCTTTTTATTTATTATGTAATGTCAAGGGTGCAAACTGAAAATTTCCCAAGATTGAAGAACAATTGCTGGTTGCTTGTGGTTGTGGTGTAAAAGTTATAGAAGTTAGGGGTTACTTCCATTTTTCGCTTTCCCCATAAAAATTCTTGTAAAACTTCCATGTTCCATTTGATGCAAAGCATACATTGAAAAAAGCTCTTGGTCTTAATCTCAATTAACTCTCACTTCATTAATCACATCAATTTATACCAGTTGTACATAAACGCCACGTTGCAATTAAAGATGTTGGTGACAAACCCAAACGCATCATGTGTAAGAGTTGGAGTCTGATTCAGGGAGAATAATAATTAGGTCCAAAAAGATATTAAATTAATAACATATAAGTTTCTGACAATTTTTTTTAAAGTTGTAATTATTGATTAAAACAGTTACAAATAAAAATTTCTGTTACAATCTAAAAGTTATATTTATTACTTAAATACTTGCTTATAATTAAAATTTTTAAATTTGTAATTTTTTAAATCTATATTTTGTATTTATTTTTTTTAAAATTTTATTAAGAACTTAACTATTATTAATTTAATATTCTGAGCTTTAACCATTATTTTTCCTCTGATTCACTTGATTCCTTTGCCCCGTGCTATTGAACACCAAGAATCAACACCCTCACTTGGATTTTAAGGGGATGCATCACTTCCAATATTCATCTGCATGAGCAAATGGTACATTTCTATCTATTCCAATATATCTTCTAGTCATATGGAGTGTGTTAGAATGATACATCCTTTTATCCAATCTAATATGATTATAGACTATCATTTCACTATCAAAACTTTTTATCTCTCGAACTAAAATCTTTTAATTTTTTTAAAACTTCTTTTACAACTTTCCTCACCTTCTTAGCTAGATTCTTCCACAAGTTGCTAGCACTTTTTTAGGACTCTCAAATTCCTTTAGCCAAAAGATTCTATTTGAAAATTTCTCACTTGTCACCTTTTAACTACTACCATCTAATCCTTAGAGTTACCATTTGTCAATACTTTTGATATTTATTCATAATATATGCATCAAGGACAATGACCCTATGTTGTGTTATTGCGATATTGTCAAGAATTACCTTACAATTTTTACAATCTTCTATCCACGTTCCTTACCAAAAGGAAATTAATATATGATCTTGAGGCTTCACTTTTGTAAGGGATGAGATGCCATCCTTATTTTTGAAACAAATGTTAACAATCTTAAAATCATATATCAAAGATAGATTAAGCATACTCCTCAAAACCAAAACCATTATTCAAGCTCGAATGATGACCTGCAACCTTACCTACATGACCATTAAAATTTCCTCCAATAAAGATATTTTCACTATGTGGTATGCATTAAATCAAGCCTTCCAAGTTTTTTCAAAATAATTCCTTAAGACTCATTTTTACCCCAACTTGAGGTGCATAAATGCTAATAATAATATTGACAGTCTCACATGTAACAATTATTTTTAAAAAATAATTCTGTCTCCAATTTTTCTCTCATAATGTAATGTATTCTCTCCCCTCCTATTTTAAAGAATATTATGGTTATATTTTCATAATTTTTTTTTTCAAAATATTAAAGTTAATAAACATAAAATATATTAAATTAATAAATTAAATGTAAATTATATTAAATTCCTAACTCTTTTTTTCCAAGAAATTTTCTAATTTATTAATTTTTTTCATGTATATCTTAAATATTATTTTTGTCAACTTATATATTTAAAATTTTAAAAATTAATCTATAAATAAAATTATATAAATGACTCTTAAACTTAAATACTATATAAATAAGTTTATTTATATTAAATATTATTTTTTTTCAACTTATGTATTATAATTATCTTTTGAAAACCTAAATGACTCTCGAACAATATTTATGTTAAAGAGATGTATTTTGGTCTAAAATATATGATTTAACAATTTTTTTTTTTGCTAACTGATTTAACAGTTAATTAATAGTTGAATGAATGCAAATGAAATTTTTAAAATAGAGGGGAAGTATGTAGTATATAAATTTTGATTTCAATGGAGGTTTATAAAGGTTTTGAAAATAGGGAGGAAGTATAATTAAAGTAAAATAGATGGGAGGTTGACATATTTTACTCTTATTTGAAAGCATGTTCTTATCATATAATTGTAAGTTGTCAACATGTTCATCTTTGTAACAATTAAATTTTGCCCATCGGACAAACTTTTTTAGGTTTCCAGTAAGGAAACTCGAAGTTATAAAGACTCACATTCTACATATTAAACCTTGTTGGCAAGATTTTGAGTAAATTGACAACTTAAGTTTATTAAAATGGCGAGCTCACCAATTATTTTGGCAAGTACATTTGAGGTTATAAAGATACCTCCTACATGTAAATAAATAAATAAATAAGGATACCTTCTGCATGTTGAACTTGTTGACAAATTCTCTTTGGTAAATTGGCAAATAAATATTACTAGAAGGACAAATTAATTTCAGCTTTTAATTATTTGAAAACTAAAAACTAAATTTGTAACATGAATAAAATTTTGCATTATATGAATATGTGATATTAGTGACAATATATTCTTTTGAAGAGCTAAGGGATTATAAGTTCAAACATCACCTTGATCATCTTGAAGGATTTAATAATAGCTAATGATTTTTTTCCCGATTTACTCTTTCCACTACAAAAAATAAGGGGGAGATATTGTGGAAATCATGCATTAATGCTTAATTAAATTATATAATGTTTCTTACATTATGGAAGAAAAATGTAATGTTATAAAAAGAAACAAAGTATAACAACAATAAAAAATTTTCTCTTACTAGGTGAAGTCGACTATATAAATTTAACAAGTACCATCATGTTCTATCATTAATCAAACTTTTAAAAATATTATTAATCAAGAAATCAAAAAAAAAAAACCACTACAATTTTAAAGGTCACAAAACTTTATTCCCAACAAAACATCGATTAGATGACATGTAAATTTTTATACATACACAAGACTGCAAAATAAATGGGGTACACAAGAGAGGTGACAAGGGTGAGAACCTTTGACCAGAAACAATCATAATTTGTTTTGCCACATCAAATTCGTTACTTGATTTTTGTTTGCTTCAATTTCATCTGTCATCTTTCAAATAAGATCCAATGGCAATTTTGAGTGAATAAACTCGTCATGTGAGGAGGCTCCAAGAGGTCAATGATATAACGAGTATCTCAATTGCCCCTCACATTTTGCAGCTTTGATTTAGAAGTGTATATATGACTAGATCATAATTTTAACCTCACCATGTACAACACAGCAGCAGTTTTCATCCATGATATCATATTCCATCTTCCTTTCAGACGCTATACATAATTGCAGCTCAAGCATGTATACATACACAAAATCTCCTCGTACTAATTTGGAAACATTCAGTATTAAGTAACCGAACAACCAGAAGGTCTTTAAATAAGATTTTTCCCTTTTCTTCCTGAGGAAATAACATAAGCACACAAATACACAAAGCTTACTATTAAGTCGCCCTTTGATTCCCGAGACCCATCGAATTTTTCGGTTGATTGTGGTTCTTGGTGACTAGTTTTTTTCATTTATTTTTGCAGCATCAGTCAGCTGTCATGGGCTGAGTCATGCAACATCGAAATCGCGCCTTGCGAACCGTTGTCATAATCTCTGTCTCTGCATTCTCCAGCATTGCTACGATTTGAGTAAAAGGTGGCCTAACATCAGGGTTTGGATCCCAGCATCTTGTCATGATCTCTCGGAGGATGGGTAAGCAGTCATTGGGTATGGTTGGACGAACATTTCGGTTGACAACTGCAAATGCTGCTTGTACAGCTGTCATGTTCTGAAATGGAAGCATCCCAGTAATGAGCTCCCAAAGAACAATCCCAAAGCTATATACATCCACCTTTTGTGTGTAAGGCCTGTGCTGGATCATCTCCCTGCACCAGATTAAAAAAAAAAAGATATTTAAGATCCATATCGAATTGTAACATTTCTAAATTTAAAACACAAAAATTATGCATATTAACACTTCAGAAGTACAGGCCTCACATCAACCACGCAGATGATCAGTGAAATCATCAACCAGTTTTTAGTAGAACGAGAAACATAACAAAATAAGTTGAGTATCGCCAAATTAAATAATCACCTAATACTGCTATCTAATGTAACAATTCCCATCTCCATTATCCCAAGGGGGGGGGGGGAGTTACCATCTAATGGGTTCTTAGTAGATTGTAATAAATCGCCAAACAACTGTGGAATGGAATGCTAGACAGTTCTAGGAAATATTAGAAAACAGGCAAGGCTCCTCCCAAGATAAAAGCAGAATCAGCAAAGAATCAGCAATGCAAGGATAAGAAAAGGTCAAGTTGTTTGTCTGGAAGTGGATACTTGATAGAATTAGCACTGACATTGCATAATACAGTTATGGATAATTAAAATTAAAAATATCCTTAAGAAAGTTAAAATTAAAATATTAAAGAAATTCCTGCCATATGTATCGTGTGTAAATAATGACTGAATAATTTCTTGCAGTATGGGTTTTACGTGAAATTTATAGTCTTTAGTAAACTGAGGGATAAAACCTATGAGCCATACTACGAAATTACGGGGAAGAGTGATAAAGCACAGATTAAGAAATGAGACATGTATTAAAGAACCAATTTGGATTTATACAAGGATGATCTACAACTGAGGCTATTTATCAGTTAAGGGAGTTGATGGAGAAGTAGCGGGACAAGGAAAAAAGACTTGCATATGATTTTTATTGACTTGGAAAAAGCTTGTGATTGAGTGCCCGGAGATGTTCTTTGGAAAGCAGAAAAGAAGGGAGTTCTTGTTGCCTACAATATTAGAGCTATTAAGGATATATATGAAGGAGCGTCAACTGGTGTCAGAATGCCTAGAGTTGAGACAACGGATTTCCCTATAAGGATTGGTTTACATCAAGAACCATTTTTGAATCCTTATTTATTCAACATAGTTTCAAATGTCTTGACTGAATCCATTAAAGATGAAATCCCCAAGTGCACGTTCTTTGCAAATGACATAGCTTTGATTGTAGAGTCAAGAGAAGAAGTTAGCATTTTAAAGGGTGTATAATTGTCTTCGCCTATGCTGTAAGACCTGATACCTTTCATAACATCCACTCAGAATTCTCCTCATGGCTTTCTAAAGAGGTTTGCATCTTGGAAATGCAGAAAACTTGGGTGCTTTGCTTACTTACATATTTATTTTCTTTCAACAAGCCGAAAGGGCCCAAAATTTGGATGCTTACTTGTTTGGTTTGTGTGGTTTACCTTCTTTTGTCCCTTATATTGGGATTATTGATTATTCTCTTTGAAATGCTTTTATTTCCTAATATATTTTATTATTTTTTACCATCAAACATAAATAAATTAAAAGGAAAAGAAAGATAACATCACAGAAAAAGGAAAAAAAAAAAAAGACAATAAAACAAGTTTTAAATTTACCAAGCCTCTGCATATTTGACAAGGAAATTGCATATAAAAGAAACCAGCTGAACATAACCTAAGAGAACCTGTGCAAATAATCCTATCCCAAAGCAAGTCTAACTATTCTACACCAACTGAAAACAATATGATACCCTAGCAGAAAAACCCCCCAATGCCAATATACTATGCCCTTTTGACTACAAACAGCCCACTGAATTTAATCAACAAGACATGGTCCAAGCTTTGCGGGCATGCCTAGGACTCACCACAAATCTAACAAGATATCTTTATCTGTAGATAGTTTCCATCAAGGTGAAAGATTCCAGGTTCTCCCACTGAAAATCCGCAAAATGTTTCTCATTCTTTTAAATCACTGATCTATGTCAAAATTAAACCAAGTTGCTGCTATATACTGTGGATAATTTGAGAGAAAAATGTATATTCTCATAACTACTGAATATTGTGACAAAACTAGGTATTTATACACCAAGGTGGTGCAAAAATAATAATGACTAATAAAGCCTAATAAAGACTAATAAGTAAAAGATATTTACAGTGGTTATAATATCTCCACACACACAAAACCACAAGAGCCAAAAACATGAACATCCAATCACAAACAAAACAAAACAGATGTCAAACAGCATCAATCAAAAATTCTTGGTTATTATAATTTTCATTGCACTTCCAATTTTCATCAGCATTAACAAATGATACATGATACATCTCAATCTATTCCAATGAAAGTCTCCATTTTTTTATTTTCTAGTCCACCTACCATGAAATTTGGAGCAAGGAGCCCACTCAAAATAGAGTACTGAACATCAGGAGTTGTCACAAGTTATATCTATTAATAACACGGACTTAATATAATTGGATAGGCAAAAAGCAAGACTACATGATTCATCTAGAGGGGTACCAACTGTTACCATCGCATGATAAATTGACAATTAGAGGTCAAAATAAAAAATTGATACAGATTACATACAACAACAACAACAACAAGCCTTTATCCCATTAGGTGGGGTCGGCTACATGGATTGCAAGACGCCATTGTGCTCTATCATTTATCAAGCTTTTAGAAATATTATTAATTAAGAGATCACGTTCAACAACTTCCAAGAGTGTTCTCTTAGGCCTTCCTCTACCTCTCTTAATCGGACTCAAAGTTATACAGATTACATACAATTATCAAAATCAAGTTAAAGAACTACATTGTTCCAATTATGTTTATAATCGTCGGTGAATGAGTAAGAGCTGTTAAGCAACAAACACAATCTGTAGTCTTACATCCTTTCTATAGGCCAATTAAATGTGAGAAACATGATCTAAAAAACATTCATGATACTAAGAAAATTTATTGATAAAAGTTCATTAGACAAAGAAATAGAAAGCACAACCAAATAAAGGGGGCAAAAAAAAAAAAAACAAGCCGTGAAAGATCAAATGCTAAAAAGCTCCCAATTTCTTAACCTCATTGAGCCACTGCAAAGGCACTGAGACACAAGAACCATAATAAAAGATAAGATGTATTTCAAAATATTGGGAAGGTTCAATTTACTATCTATTAAAAAGTTTTGAAATATTTTTAAGGTAAAATTCTCAATATTATATAAAAGATAAATTAATATAATAAATCCATGCATTCACAAGAACTACACATTAATAAGCCCAGTATTTTTCAAGAAGGCTTTTTTCCTTACCATATTATTCCGTTAACTGACCCCTTTATATTCAACTTTATGTTCTTCACATTCAAAACATCAAACAAAAATGAAATTGCCCTAGTTCTGTTTTTTAATATATAATAAAACAAGAAATTTATTGGAGAGAAATGATGTGCACAAAAAATAAAAACGATATATTTCTTTTGGGCACGTTTCCATCAAGAATCCTGATGAAAAACACATACCAAACACCACAAAGAGGCCATAAAAGCAATACTGTGATCCTAACCCTTACAAACAATTTTCTTATCACTCTTCCTACTCAAATTGAGCACGTCTATTGTTCAGCCAGCAGACTGCCAAATCAGCTACAAGTTTATATCAATCATGCAATGAGAATCCCCTTCATCCTAATCCCCCCAATTTGAACCCTTCATTGAACATATTCTTTCTTCCATAAATCCACATCAGCTTTAACAATCAATGGCTCTAAACTTTAGAAAAAGTAAAGCTTCATAAAGCAACTACAGAACTTCTCCTAATATTGTTTTGCATAATATGCATCATGCTAAACAACGTGTGTTTTGTCCTAATTTCAAGTCCAATGATATTGTGCAAGGGAGCCCATAAAGTTTTATCATAACCTTAACCTCCAATCTTTTCGTCCAAAAAAAAAGAAAAACTAAGATGCTATAATCTCTAAGGTCATGTTTGGTACATTAGAATTGGGTCCAAGAGAAATGGAATTGGAATTGGAATCATGCTTTCAATGGTTTGGTATACATGAATCCAATTCTTTATGGATTCCAATTCTGCCAAAATACCCAGAATTTAATTCCATCTCCATCATAATGGAATTGCCACAATTCTATGGAATTGTCATAAGTGCCCCACATACATACTCTATCATGATGGCTGAGTTTTTTTATTTTTTTTAGAAGGGCATTTTGGTTTTTATCTATTTTAAATACATATATTTATTATTATATTCAGATTCCATCTTCATACCAAACATACATTTATAACTCAATTCTATTCCAATTCCAATTCCAATTCTAATTTCGATTCTGATTCCATCAAAAATTCTTCTATCATACCAAACGAGGCCTAAGAGATTCTATTCTATCATAAGGATTCCTGGGCAAATCAAAATTAAAAAAAAAAATCTTACAAAGTAAAAAGTTCTAAGTATAGACCATAGCGCAAAGTTGATAAATGATATAGGAGACGAAGTTTTTTTTTTTTTTTAATAAGAATTACCAATCCAATTTTCCACTTAAAAGCTAAAGACAGACTAAGAGCCTATCCCTACCTAGGGAGGGAGCAAAGGCCAAGAAGAAGGATACCAAGAGATGAACTTTCAGGAGCATCAATGATTAGCACCAACCCTAAAGTAAGAATCCGACCATTGTGCAATATTCTATATCTACTTGCAACCAGCCTTTCCTAGATAAAACCAGGATTTAACAGAAACCACCATCACAGCTTGCAACTGGAAAAATGTCCACAGAAACCAATTCACCTAGACACAACCCTATCCTATCAAGGCTTACAACTTGATCCCCAAACTAAATAATCTCTTACTCATTTCAATACTAAACCAAAAGAGATCTTTCATTAAATTTCCCCATCATCTCTCCTACCACATGAATAATTATTTCAGGTAGAACAACCCAACAGAAACAATCATAGATAGCATAGCACAGAGTGATCATTGAATATCAGGGAATCCAAAAGGACATTGCATGAGGTTCCCTAAAGGAATAAAAAAAAGGGGGGGCTATCATGCACAACCAGCAAATCCAACAATGCTACCCTGAACAATTGTCCCCACGAAATCCCAGCTAGAAAGTCTGTCTGTCTGTCCCTCCCTCTCTCTCTCTCTCTCTCTCTCTCTCTCACAGAAAGAGAGGAAGGAGGGGGAAGAAAAATTTCAACAGGAAGGTGCAAAAGAGACATTTTAAGATTCTTACCCAAACAACAAAATCATGCACAACCCTATCAGAGCTCATTTCAACATCTAAGCTAAGTTGAACTATTATTAATTGAAGGCAATTGAATTTTTCTTAATGAACTACTTCAATAAGCCATCTTTCTTTCCAGCCAAGAACACAGATTTGCCACCAGTTCTTCACTAACAAAAGATATAGACAAGACTTTTAAAATATATAACATCAACTAGAGAACACTGCAATTACTATTTCCGCATAATGTGACATTTTCCTCACAGGATATCAGACAAATGACAATCTATAAGCCATAAAATTACAAGATCAACTGTTAGCATGCCTAAGATCTGTTTTTGCTCAAATAGATATAATTTGAATAATGATATCTCCAAAGAGATAATCATGAAAACATAAAATAAGCATGCACAAAAAGTAAAACAAAATAATCTTACGGAGCCATCCAACGGTACGTTCCAGTCTCTGGGGTCATTCCTTCAGTTTGCACCTCAATCCGAGCAACACCAAAGTCAGCAATTTTGATTGATTTGTCACCAAAAATCAAAAGGTTGTCAGACTTCAAGTCCCTGTGGATTAACCCAAGGCCATGAACATATGCCATCCCCCTTGCAACATCCAAAGCTTGTTTGACAGCTAATTTGAGGGGAACTGATCGATTGTGGCGCTTCATTAAAAACTGTCTAACTGAACCCCCTTTAGCATACTCAGTTACAATGCACCATACCATGGGCTTACGGCAAGCACCAATGAAACGAACAATGTTAGGATGCTTCAGTGTAGCCAGCATCATGACCTCTTGCTGAAACTGCTGTTCCATTGACTGAGCCTTCACTGGATTATTTTCAGGCCTCTCCAAAATTTTGATGGCAACATCTTCATTGTTGTAAGTCCCTCTGTAGAGCTTCCCAAAAGCCCCTTGTGCAAAAGGCTCACCCATATTGAGGTTCCTCAAATCAATTGTCCACTCATCAAAATTGTCAAGGCCCTCAGTTGGGGAGCTGCTGTCCATTAGAGCTTGGGCCAAGGCATCATCACTCAGAGCATGTGTGACTCTTCCTCTATGATTGACACTATGTGCAATAGAGTAATTATCATTGGCACGCCTCCGCAGCCCTTGGTGGTTTAAAATACGAGTATGGGAATCATTGGACCCAACACTGCTATTATCAATAGACATCGCAACAGATTCCCCACCATTGCTTGTTTGCAAGCTTCCAATGCTATCAATTGACATATCGGTACCATCCCCTAGCTTATGGTAAAAACCTTGAGAAAAATCATAATAGTTATTATTATGTTTGTTTAGGTCTATTATGCCAGGGAATTTTGCACCACCGTCCAACATTTTTAACAATAAAGAGCAAGCCTTCAGATCTTGTTATTCAGCATCAGAAGTCACAAACTAAACCACCTAAACAAAATCTCAAAAACCAGTACATGTCAGCATAAAATTTCAGCATTTTCTGGACAAACAAAAAAAATAAAACAAAGAAGATCTAGTAAAGTTGAAGCCGCTAAACTTGAATCATACACTTTATTCAAAATCAAGACAGCTCGCTAACGAACAAAATTAGAAAACTGATATATCATTGTTATCATATCTTTCGTCGAGGAAATGGAAAGCATATTCACATAAGCAAGTAAGGGAAGAACAGAAGAGATTGAGGAAGCAAAACATAACGATCTATCAAAAATAAAATAGAGATAAAAAGGCCCTCAAGGAGAATTTTAAGACATGACCAGCTTATGCAAACTAAAACGTAATCTCAATTCTCAACAAGCCAATCCTTTCCCGATGAGAAGAACAAATAGCAAGATTGAGAAAATTTAGTAAAGGCCAATCGCATAAAGTCATGAGTTCCGACACAAAATTCCTCATGCCCAATTCGAAATCCACAAAAATTTGCGAAGAACAAGTCCAAAGAAAAAAAATTATGACATAGGGGCAGTAGAATATGAACTCCAGTAGCTTGTAATCCATAGCTTTGAAGGCCCTTTAACTGATTTATCAGCCAACACCGTACCGTATATTCCTGAACTAGTCAGTGATCTTGCAAACAAAATATGAAATACTAAGCATGAACCCTAAAATCTTACAATCATACCATGAGAAGCCTAGCGAGTCACAGCGTCAAGTACCTTGAGCGAGCTTCTCTTTGCGAGCTGCGATATTGAAGTCATCAAATAGCGCGCGACGAGATCGAAAAGGGGAAGATTGGAATGGTAATGTGGCAAGATTTTGCTCCTGTAAGCTGCTCGTTGGAAACCGGAGACCATAGACGCAAGAAGATGAAATGGATGACTTTCTTTCTACTTTTTTTTTTTTTAATAATTATATTTCATCAAAAAAAAAAATTGTATTGCATCGCCCCGTCCTATAGTTCGTCCCAAAAAAAAAAAAAAAGTTATTGTTCATCTGCAAACATTTTCAAGTTACATCTTTTCCCTTTAATTTTTTTAAAATTAATGCACAAGTGTTTTCCTTAATTTTGAATTATATTGTTATAATTTTTTAAGCTAAAATATATCTTTAATCATTTAACTTTATATAAGAATTCATTTTAATCTCTTAATTTTATAAACTACCTTTTCAATCCTTTAATTTTAATATTGGCAAAACATTATTAAATGATGACATATTAAATTTAATTTTTTTAAAATAACAATGATTGGTATAAAAATAATTATTTAAAAGTAATAGTTTTATAATTGTTAGAGGATTGAACAGAAAATTTTTAAAATTAAAAGATTAAATTAAAACTTTATATAAAGTTAGAGGATTGAAAATATATTTTAACTAATTTTTTTTATTTAAATTGAACATTTATAATTTCATCCGCTAACTCAGTTATTTCTTTAATGTTGTAATTGCTAATGAAGAATTAATTTTCCCAAAACAAGAGCAACTTTTAAATTGATGGAAAATTTGATTAAATATTTTTGGCCAAAAAATTGATTTAATACAATTTTTAAGCTTTTATTAACTTTTAATAAAAATTATACATGTGCAAAAGATATAACCTAAACATTTTATCTTTCTCTCTTTTTTGGGTCAAGTAATTTTTTGTCTTACTCTAACTCTCAATATGATTAGAGAATATGTAATGTGAAAGAGAAAGGGAATAAAAGTTTATAAGTCACAATTCCTTAAAATATCATATCTTGAGTCTCTCTTACAAGGATCTGAATAATAAAAGTTTATAAATATTTTAAAAGAGTAAATATGTACAACTGAATCTTAAACAAGGTATGAGCTTTTTGATCAAAAAAATAAATGTAGTTTATAAAATAGTGATAATGTACTTAACTCATTATCAACCAACTTAAATGATATTGTATGTATAGTTTTTGAAGAATTATTATAGTTATAAATGAGTCTATAGCCATTGGGAATGCTAGAACACGCAACAAAGATGTTGCGAAAAAAAAAAAAAAAAATTATTGCCAAAGCAATAAATGCTTGTTAGAGCGCTGGATAACACGTTATTTGTAAATAGTACTAATGAAGCTAAGTCCTAAAGTTTGGATAAAATCCTAAAAAAATTGGCCCAAAGAAAAAAAAGATAGCATCCTAAAAGGACAATAACTTGAAAAGAAGGGGATAAAAAAAAAAGGAAGAAACTAAGGTCCATTTAATTACTATAAAAAAATGTAATGAAATGAATTAAAACAATAAGATAAATATAAGCTAAAACACATTTCCTCTCATAATAAGTATGATAAAACTTATTAATATATCCTATAAATATAGGAACCATCACATCCTCTAAAAATCTAATAAATTATGATTATTAACCTCATGAACTAAGCTCTTGTTTGCTTATTAGAAAGAACTGAAATGAAATTGCTTAAAAAAAAGAAGATAAAAATAATAAGATCAAAGGAAATAAGTGAACACCTTCATAAGAAAAATGGGTAATTTAATTTACAAGGTTAGAAATCATGATTTATAATATTTTTAGAGAGTGTGACAATTCTCACATTTGTAATATATATCAATGAAATTTATTATACCTACCATGGGGGGAGGGTAGTTTAATTTATTTTTGTTTTAATTTTTTCATTCTATTATATTCTAGTAATCAAATGAGACTTAAGTTACCCCTCTTTTTTATGAATATACTTACATATCCCCTTTAATTATCTTACTTTTACTTTTATTTTTTTAATTCATTTCATTTCATTTATCAAACAAACATGATCTAAGTTCAAATTAATGAATCTAGATTAGATACCACACTATCTAGGATGCCTGACACATTATTGGTGTTTCTTGAGAGCAAAAGACTTTTAGGCTTTGAAATGTTGTCCGGATAATATGCTATTTGAAATGACCAGCACCTTATCTGGAAGTTTGCAAGGAAATGAATGAAACATTTCAACTAAGACAGTGTGCTAAGTGGATGACCTAACACATTATGTAAGAGTCTAAAAATAATTTAAATAAAAATCCCTGGATAGCACGCAAACAAGAGTGACTAATGTGTGATTAGGCGAGCTTGAAAGGAAAACTTGAATAGCATGCAAAGTTAAGGACCAATGATGCTAATTGAAAGTATATAACTTTATCTAGTAATCTTAAAACCTAATTTATAACAGAAAATGCTGAAAACACAAATGTTTAAAAAAATTCTCAAATGTTTATATTAAGTTTATTTTTAAAAAATGAAAATAATTTGGTTAAAAAGTCACAAGTTGAAAACTATGTCATCATTTAAAATTGCAGCATCAATATTTTCAATTATTAAAATTAATTGTGTTAGAGTTAGACGATTGAAAATACATTTTATCAAATTAAAAAAATTAAAAAGAAATCTTTTGTAAATTTAAATAATTAAAAATGTACTTTTACCTAATTAAATATAATGGTATTTTTTTTTTCATTTGTTTTGGGTTTTGTGAGACACCATAAAACTATGGAGACTAGAATTTTTCAAGATAATAAGGGTAAAATGGAAATCCCTTTTAACTAAATTTGCTACATATGTAATGAAAAACTAATCAAATCTCTTACAATTTGCCTAAAGGACAAAAGTCCCCGCCACCCACATCAACATAAGTTGGTAGAAGTATTTTTGTAAAAAAATTCAGTGTGCGCATGGATACATGCAAAACCTAGTTTCTATTTGCAAAACCCAATTTCCTAAAAGCAACTTTCTCCCCCATTTGTGAAACCCAATTTTAGGTTAACATTCCATCTTGCAAACAAGCATATATATAGAAATTAGATTTTGCAAAAGTTTGTGCCATTATAATTTAAACCTTATGCTAAATATCTGGTTAATATGTAGCTACATATATGCATTACTAATCATAAGCTCTAAAAAATATATTACAATGGGTCCAAAATTAAGAATCTAACTTACATGTCAAAAATTCAATTAATAAAAAATTTAACCTACAACCCATAAAGTTGTGAAATCAAATCTCATTGCCTTTATTAAGAATTTGTTGGTGAATAATTTATAAATACATTTGAAAGTACTCCATGAGCCTTGAGTCATGTCCTAATTCTATTGATCCATCGGGCCCTAACTTACCCAAACTTTTTATTATAAAAAAAAATATCAGGACCGAAAATGTACTTCAAAACTTTCATATCAGTTCTTTTGCATCAGAATACAACTGGCAAGCTAGTCATACATGACAATTGGCAGCATGGTAGCCACCACTGGCAAAGAATGCTATTATACAATCTTGTCATGGTGAATCTGCCTGGCCTTTTATTTGTGCCCTGAGAGTAGCTCAACTTAAACATGGCTGTATAAAGAATTGCATGGAAAGATAAATACTATGTTAAAAACACAAATTATTATGCGACAAAGCCAACTTCATATTGCTGAAGAAGATCTGCAAGCCCAATTGCAAAATTCACCTAGTGACGTTTCATTTCCTGAAATATATTTGCCACCCTTGGGGATAATCTTGGAAGGAATTTAAATAACTGTAGCAAAAACACAAGAAGATCTAATCAGCAATAACATTGACAAAGTAATTGAGACAATACACTTCAAGTCTAACAGTTTTTTAGAAAATGAAGATAACAGACCTTGAAGACATACATTGTGAAGAAAGAAAGAACAATAAATTCTAGCTAACGCGATAAAGCTAGCTATTGTAAAAGCCAAGGAGAATTAATTTATTAATATCCTTAATTTTTATTTTATTTCCTGGTTCTGTTCATCTAGCATGCCCTTTTTCCATTAGTGACAGAGATTCCTCAAAAGGCATTCAGGCATAAAGAGGGTACGGCTGCGAGGTTGGGTGGAATGAAGTTATTGGGTAATAGTTGGGGAGGAATGTCAAAATCTTAAAGGATAATTTTTTGTCGTCGTCTTGGGCTAAAATTGGTACTTTTATCCCCTTGATATGACTGACTGTACAAGTTGTGGGACTAATATTCTGTTTTACTATAGTAAATAAGTCAGTATAACTACTCCTGTTAAAGTAACAGAATAGGATGACCTGGGGTACCACGATATAAGGACCCAATTTGTATTCTGACAGATTGATCAGTGAATACATTTCCCATACACATTTCCTTCTTAACCTTTTGGTATCAAAGCATGGTTTCAATTTTGGGACTCGTGGATTTCTTTATACTATACTAATGGCAAGTTTGGATAAATTTTCTCAGCTGAGAATAATTTTAGTTGAGGAGGTTTGATTTGTTTATCCTATGCGTTCTTTTCTTTTAAGAGGATATCTTATACTGTGTTCACGAAATTCACTGGACCTCTTCTCTCCAAATATTTCGTAATGTAGATTCATTGTATGTGGATTTGACATTTCTTTCATATAGAGGAAATACTTCAGCAGAACATTGTGTTGTATTCACATACCATACTCCACAATAAGGTTAGGTTCCTTTTAGACCTCTTTTTAATTTCCTGAATATGAAAAATTTAAAAGTCATGGAACCAGAAACATTTACGAGCCATTTAGGAGCAGAAGATACCCAGAGTTTCACACATGCATCGATGATAACTGGGACCAGGCAAACAAAAATTGTAATAGCAGCCTGATCAACTTCAAGCCCATAATGCTCAACAATTATCTCTATCAAAGTTTGCCAACCAGATTCAGAATGATACCTGCAGGCATCCCAGTGTGCAAAAAGCAGTTATGGATACAAGCAACATCAGAATTCAGAAGCCAATGAACCCAAAAAAAAAAAAAAAAAAAAAAGGAGCCGGGGGGGGGGCCAATATAATCAAATGAAAAACCAAAAGGTGATATTACACAAAACTAGTTATTGAATGGAATCTGAGAAATAAGCCACATTGTTGATAGATTATAAATAGTACGTCTTATTAAAGGTTTTATATCCCATACAGATGAATGACTAGTGCAAAATAGAAAAAAGAAACTGATAGAAAATATGGCAAATGTTATTTGAGAAAGAAATAATTGTTTTTGCATTATTTAGTATTTTGTAAGTTTCCTTCTAAGGAAGGAAACCTGACCTGCTTTTGATTGTTTTACTCTTTATTTAAATCTACAAGTTGAGCTTTCCTTATAGGGAAGGAAACCTCAAGCTTATATTTTATTTCATTTTATGTTTCCCTCATAAGAAGGAAACCTTAATTGTGGCTTCTATAAAAAGCCACCATGCAGCACATGTAAGGAAGTTCTTAGAGTTGGAATGAATTGCTGTTATATTCCCCTATCTATCAGTTCTATGTTCCTCTCCACTTCCCCTGCTTTCTCTGTTTTCTGTCATCTCTCCCCTCTGTTTTTGCTCCCCCTTCACCTCTCACTCTCTGAATCTGTTTCTTTTCCTCATCCTATTCTGTTCAAATCAATGTGAGTGTGTGTGTTTTACATCAGAAACATTAGAACAATTATCATGTATGCAACGTCTTCGCTAACAAGGGTGCTATTATTGGTTGTATGACCATGTCATCATGTGGATAGGATAAGACTCAAAAGCTGTTTTCCTTGTTATCTCTGTTGAGAAACCTAAGGAGTTTATTATTGTGGAGAAGTCTAAAAGTATTACACCTCCCTTCCTTTTCATATGAGACAAACGGGAGAGTAAGCTTAGACTGCTAGAATTGCTACACAAGTTACTTGTCAACATCACTAATTCATTATGAAACAAGTTTTACTGATTGGTATTGTAAAAATGAGGTAAATAAGCAGGACCTAAGAATATGCTTAATAAAACAAATACTAATACAAAATCAATCACCCGAGAATCTCTCTCCTAAAAACAGAAACTATTATCCTAAATATCTATATTCACACAGAGTCAGTCCAACCACAAATCTTCAACTGGAAGTGTTGTGAAACCTCATATATGTCTAAGAAAGTAAAAAATGTTGGGATATATCAAGCTCAATAGTATCCTGTCTAGGAGTTTGTTCTTGTCTCAAGAAAAATATTCTTTCAGTGGATTAAGATGGGAAAAGTTACATAACTCCAAATTGCTTTGTAATTCATCATTGTCATTATAGATTATCTCTTAATTGTATTCTTTGTTCAGAATTCAATAAATAAAGGAAAGTGCAAGGCTGAAGAGTTCAGCTATTTTCTGGCAAACCTAATTTTTTACCAACTACGCTAAACCTTTAAGCTCAGAGAACGAACAAATACAAGCCAACCAAACCATGCGTGGAAATTTAATATAATATGGAGAGTGTCGATCAGGATTCTTTTAGTAGAATAACTTTTGATCACTTCCAAGTCTAACAGTATATATTAGATCTCAATTCTCAACATCACTAATTCATTATGAAACAAGTTCTACTGATTGGTATTGTAAAAATAAGGTTTGAAAACAGAAATTACCCTAAGAATATATCTGTGACAAGTATAATTAGAAATGCCTTCCCAGTATCTGAAATATTATTTATTATTTTGTAACCAGTAAATTTGAGCAAGGCAACCTGCAAAATGGAACAAAAGACAAAACGAAGGGTAATTAGTAGGTACAGTTGAATTAAAATACCAAATGAAAATACTCAGAAGGTAAAATGATAGAGCTGATGATTCCCAAAAGATTTGCTTGTCATTTCCTAAGGCCTACGGTAGACAATCTAGGAAGGGAGGTGAATTAGAGAAGACTGAGGCCAGTGGTCAAGAGGTTTATCCTAGCTACAAGAAAGGATGACTTGAGATTTTGATGGAGCTCAACTGTCTAACAAATTGTTGGTGATCTTGACAATAATTTTGGCCTTGAGAGTAGCTGTGCGTTGGAATACCAGGTGCCTTATCCCATTCAACTCCAGTTCAAAGTTCAAAGGATAGGAATTTTGGGAACAAACAAGACAATGAGAATATAAAAATAAAAAAAAAATGAGAGAGAGAGAGAGAGAGAGAGAGAGAGAGAGGAGAACACCTATAAGAGAAAGGGAATAAAAAAGTAGTTTAAGGGGAGGGTTCATGTTTAGTCATTGTGTTAAATTTTTGAAACAGGCCAAGAATTCAATTATGTCCAATAACACTATAAAACAGAGAAGGTACGTCATTCATATTTCTACCAAAAGCTTGTTATTCATGCCTGCCTTCCAGAAAACCGAATATTGCTTATCAAGTACATCCAGATGTACGGGTGAATTATTACTGTCATAGGGTACATGCGTTTTGTTTACTTTTAAATATGTCAGATGGGTGTACATATACACCACAAAGGAGGAGCTATAGTAGTAAAGAATCGAAGTGAAATCTTTAAAAACTAGTAAATACATGAACTGAGGCCTCAAATCTAGAAGATTGGCGATGTAGGACAAGGAATGAAAGGGGGAGGGGGAAGGAGAAAGGAAGAACAAGAAACGCAAGGTGGAAAAAGAGAGTAAGAGAGAATGTTGACAGAAAATATGATAGAGTACTGATTATTGTGGGATAATGGGTGATCATACAAATCACTACCTAATAGCAAAGATCACATTATCTACATTATCAATGCCCTGAGTTTTTTTCACAACTACGTTTTTTTTTTGGGGTCAAATTTTCACAACTACATTTACAATAAAGTATCATCCATCTGGAATAGGCATTTTGGTTTGGTGTGTTCTGTGTTGAAATCATGTGATGTAAAACACACACACACGCGCGCTCAAACTGATTTGAACTGGAGGTACAGCAGAAACAGAGTGAGAGAACGAGAACAAGGAGGGAGGGAGACAAAATACAGAGAGAGAGAGAGAAGATAGGAGGAAGCATAGGACAAAGAGGGAGGAGGAACTGAGAGGGAAAGGACGCAGACTGGAGGGAGAGAGTTTCAGAATATCTCAAATGCATTCATTCATCAAATCTAAGAACTCCCTTACATGTGTTGCATGCTGACTTTTTATAGAAGCCACAATTAAGGTTTCCTTCTTATGAAGAAAACATAAAAAATAATAATAATAAAATATAAGCTTGAGGATTCCTTCCCTATAAGGAAATATCTACTTGCAGCTCATTTAATACATGAAGTAATATAACAGCCCACTTGCTAAAGAGAGTAAAATCAGAAAGCAATAAAATAAAAAATTAAGATAGATTTCCTCTTATAGCAAACTTCTTCAAAATATATTAATTCCCATATTTCATGATGGAACTCTCCTCCGGAGAGTTAAAAAAAAAACAAAAATAAAACAAAAAAGTTGAAGTAACTCCACTAGAGCGTGATGTAGGGAACCCTTCCAAGTAGCAATTAATCAAGAGATCCTCTCCAACATACAGGGTAGTGCAAAATGAGACTGTGTGGAAAGTAAGCAATATGATCATAATGATTTGGAAAACCTTCCCGATGAACAAGGTAGCTGTAGAAGTTGTTATCAAATGGGAAAATAATATGTTTTTTCACAACCAAAATAGCTTTTGTAGTAAATGGTGTAGCACATGGATGATCAGAAGAAGGAATTTGACAAAGTTGAACACTCTTGCCAAGATCCCTAACTGGCTTCCACACATAAGTCTCTACTGCCTTTAAGTGATGATCTTTAGTCAACAATTTGAAGCCTTGATTCACTTTAAGACTAATGCCCTCATTTTTTATAGAGATTTCTTCGGACTCAAATTCTTTCTCTTGCTTCACAGTAACATCTAAGTCACTTCCATTTTCTGACTTAAGCTCTTTCATAAGAATGCTTTTACTCCCAATTACAGGACCATGAATACTATTGGTATCCCCTTTTGGTATAACTGATATAGGTGTAGCCTTTTTGATGAGGGTACCATTCTCTTGTGCCTTGAAAATATCATAATTGTGTCTTGAAAAAGTTATCTCCATGCCCCTTTGATGGCTAACACATTTGAGAGCCCTTAAAGCTTCATCAAACTTAGTATTCATGTACTCCTTCAACACTTGAATTTTCTGATCCATGTATTGGTTTTGAGCCCTTTTAGATTCCTCAAGATCACTTTTAAGAATTTTCGACATGATGAACAAAAACTAAAATTCCATAAATGATTGCTTGCACATAAGATAGGCCAGCAAGTTGTGAAAGCCACAAAACATGAAATTTTACCCTAAATAAAACTTTGAATGATGATTCAGGGCTCTTAGGTTGATTAGAACCAAACAAACTCCTTGAAAACACCAGCAATGCTGAAAATAAGATTCTGGAGACGCTGTATGGACGGCACGTGCGATGGTGCGTGAGGACCACGCACAGGGGACTCATCCGGCGCATGGAGGCGTGTTCAGCAGCAGAAGGAGGTGGGTTTTCTGGTTTCGACTGGATTTCCCCTCCTGAGCATGATGGTGGTGTCCGTTTTAGGATCTGACATCGGGAAGTGTGGCTCTGGGCTCTAGTAGCGTGAAACAGAGGGTTTAGGGAGATTTCTGGCGAGTTTCTTTGTTTTTCTGGTGACAGAAGTACCCAAGGAGCATAGAAACGCAAGCTCTGATACCAAGTTGATGTAAAACACACACACTCAAACTGATTTGAACTAGAGGTATAGCAGAAATAGAGTGAGAGAATGAGAACAAGGAGGGAGAGAGAGACAGAATACAGAGAGAGACAATTGAAGGAAGCATAGGACAAAGAGGGAGGAGGAACTGAGAGGGAGAGGATGCAGACTGGAGGGAGAGAGTTTCAAAATATCTCAAATGAATTCATTCATCAAATCTAAGAACTCCCTTACATCTGTGGCATGTTGGCTTTTTATAAAAGCCGCAATAAGGCCCTGTTTGGTATGCAGACCTCAATTTAGAGGGATTAAAATTGGAATTGAGATTGGGATTGAGATTGGGAATGAGAGTGAGAATAAAGTTTTAAAATTATGTTTGGTATAGAGTAATATTAGGAGGGAATGCTTACTTTTATTTTATTTTATAATTAAACAAAAATAAAAAAAATACTATATTACCCCTCAAAATATAAATTGAATATTTATGTCATTATCATCAGAACACTTTCCTCCCCCTAAAACAGAACGTTCATGGCCACAGAAGAAATGCTTCCACTGGTTATCCTCATCGTCTTCTTCCTCTTCTTTCTTCTTCTTATTGCTTTTCTCCCCCAAAAAGAACACCCATGGCTGCACAAGAGAACCTCGTTGCTGCGCTCTCCTCTATTTTTTTTCCCTTCTGGTTTGAACCAAGAAATGAGAATGACGAGGATGTAGATGATGGTGAAGTCGACGACGGTGGCAAGGTCTGGTGGCTATAGCTCAAGCTCAGACCGATTATGTAGATGAGATCGTCGATTGTTCTCCTCCTTCTCTCATCTTCAATGTCCTCCTTCTCCCTACAGACCTGGTAATGACGTTAGTGGACGGAAGACTGGTAACAGCAGAGGAGACGCCGGTGTTGCTTGCTCTGAAAGGAGGGCAAGGGCGGAGAGATGACATGGAGATGAAGGAGGAGCGGGCAGAGGAAAGGAAATGATAGAGAGATAATGGGGGATAATTTGGTCTATAAATAATCAATCCTGGGACTGATTTTCTAGTACCATAGGGGATAGTGGTATTGAGCAATCCCACTTAGATAGGATTGGTATTGGGATTAAATTTCCCATTCCTTCATACCAAACATGAAAAGGTGGGATTATTTAATACCAATCCCAGTCCTACTTCCTCATTCCTTCCTGCCAAACATAGCCTTAAGGTTTCCTTCTTATGAAAGAAATATTAAAAAAATGAAATAAAATAAAATATAAGCTTGAGGATTCCTTCCCTATAAGGAAACATCTACATGCAACTCATTTAATACATGAACTCATTTAATACATGAAGTGATATAACAGCCCACTTGCTAAATAGAGTAAAATCAGAAAGTAATAAAATATAAAATTAAGATAGATTTCCTCTTATAGCAAGCTTCTTCAAAATATATTAATTCCTACATTTCATCATCATGTGCGTTCCTTGAAGCTTGAATCCACACCCTCACACTCATTCATAGCTCTTGATAACCTTGATAATTAATGAATGCTCTCAAGCTTGAAGATATATATATATATATATATATATCAACATTGACAAAGACTAAGGTAGTATATGATGCCTAAGTTCAACATGGAGTGGTATGGGATTCTCCATGGGGCATTTAAATGGGTTATCTCACCTCAAAAGCTTTCATTTCATTTGGGTACTCTCTCTCTCTCTTTATATATATATATATATATATATCTATCTCTCCCACACGTGCACGCAATAATGTCTTACTTACCATACATGGCACTTGATAAACTTATACAATTAGCATTTACTACCCCATGCGCTCCATAGGGACCATTAAATAATAAGATATCAATATCACTCAGCACACATAATTCATCTAAATTTTGTGTAATTTATTTTGTTACAATTCCATAAGACTTGGAAATATAATTGACTAATCAGGCTAATTATTTGTTATAAGTAACATGCAAATCCAAGATCTAATAAAACAATATGTCAAGGATTGGTTGGACAGACATAGATCATATCTAGAGCAAATAAACATCAAAATGTGGGCACACTGAGATAGTAACTTACTTTGCTCTGATTGAAGTATAAAAGAATAAATAAAGTGATCCCGTAAACCATATCTGACCAGATGTTGGCAAATGCTCTACGGTTCTCAAGTCTCCACTCATCTCTCAATTCTAATCTGTTGGCAGAACAAGAAAAAAGGCAACAAAGAAAACAAGCAGATAGTAATCGACAGTCAACAATCAACTAGAAAATGAGCACATTATAGAAACAACTGTTGAAAATAATGGTTGAGATACTAAAACAATCTGTGGATTCCGCTGAGTCTCAACTAATTATACTAATTCCATGGTCATATGAAGACACTTGCAATGACCCTCAAAGCAAGTTGAGAAAATAAGTGAGGAAAAATAGATTATGATGATTTCTTATGGATTACATGAGTAAATATACAGCAATTCTACGAACTATTCTAGGAAGGACATAAAAGTAATTATGTATAATGAATGCATAGATTAACCGTTGATCTTAGGAGTAGAAAGGAACAAAGAATATTTCCAAAGCAGTCACTAACTAATTAAAATAATTACAATATATTCTAACAATTCCCCCTCAAGCTGTTGTCTTCCGTTATGAGATTGGATTGTGTGTATGTCTATGACTTCACTCAAGTTGTGCCTCATAGTAGTTAAAACTAAAGAGATCAAGTATTAAGAAAGCGTGAGGAAATAGGCCTGTGTGATATAAGTGATGTGAGACACAGCTAGTTACCACCAAAGAGCAAAAAAAAAAAAAAAGGAATGCAACTAGCTTGATATTTGCATTGATTCTGGGCTTCTAGCACTCTCAATGGAGCATATAAATCATGAGTGTTGATTTTTGCTAAATAGTAATTCATGTATACAACAACAACAACAAGTATTATCCCATTAAGTGAGGTCAGCTACATGAATTGTACGGCACCATTGTCCTCTATTATTTACCAAGCTTTAAGGAATGTTGTTAATTAAGAGGTCTTGGTTAACAACTTCCATAAATATTCTCTTTGGCCTTCCTCTATCCCTCTTAACAAGGTTCAAAATTATCCGTTTCATTCTCTTCCCTGGTGCCTCTTGTGGTCTTCTTTATACATGTTCAAACCATTTCAAATGATTTTCTACCATTTTTCCCTCAGTAGGTGCTATGCCCACTTTTTCTCGTGTGTCCTCATTTTAAATTTTATCTTTACATGTATGCCCGCACATCCATCTTAACAGTCTCACCTCTACTACTCCAACTTTATACTCTTGCTATCCCATTAAAGCTCAACATTCACTACCATATAACATAACTTCTCTTATAACAATTTGATAAAACTTCCCCTTAAGTTTATTAAGTAACTTACGATCACAAATAATTCCTTTAGCTTTTCTTCAATTAAATCACCAACTAATAAAATTATTTGGTGGATACAAAATTAAACCACCAAATTTACTCTGGTAGTTCATAAGATGCTCTTCTTGCTCTATTTGTAGGGTTGCATTTTTTTCTCTATTAAATACAAGACATAGAAAATCTCTTCTCTTGCATTCTCCCATATTCTTCAACTCTCTCAAACTCTAAAATAGGCACCAAGCTTTCTACATTGTAAATAATCTGATGATCTCTAAGGGATTTTAGAAATGTAATAAATATTTAAACTACTAGTTTAATCCACTGTTCTCTATAGAGATTCCATGAATGTATCACACAAGAAAACTATTAAAGTCAGCGTCCCCATTCATACTTCTCTCCCTCTCTTTTACTGACTACTTTCCACAACTCTAATTATTTCCCCTGTAGAGATCCTCAAGGGAAGAAGACATATGTTTTCTTTTAAAAAAAAAATAGAAAGAATTTCTTCTTTGATAGTGTTCTAGGTATATTTTTTCAGCAAGTAACAGACTACTACTATTTAATTTTGTTTGAACCTTCAGATGCAACTTATAGTGCTAACCGAAAAAGGCTATGCCAAAATACCAGAAACAGCTGCCCTACACATAGAATAGTATATTCTCTTTTTGTACAATGTCTAAACCAATTTCAGAAGGTATTATATTAAAACCCAGTATGCAGTGCAGACTTAACCCAAAAAAAAAAAAAAAATTATGAGGTCACGTGTCAATTGGCAGACTGATGCGCACTATCTGCAAGATAAGTCTGTTGTGCTTTCTACAAAAATTAAAGGTTCCATTTAACTCTATTGTTCTGGCTATAACAACAGCAATCATCAAAGGGAAACAACAGTCAACATAATGAGCAAGAAAAGAAGGCCTGAGCTTACGCTTTTTGCCTTAACTCCCACCAAATTTCCTCATCATTAAGAGGTGGAGATTTACCAATCTCTACTTCAAGCTGAAACCGTCCCCTCTCAGTTCTTAATTCCTCAATCATTTGAAGTTTTTGATGTCTCCTTACATCAAGCATTTGGGCTGCAAGTGGTACAGTCTTTACATATCTGTCAATAGCACAAGGTTAGCAGGAATAATTGTAAAAAACAAGTCGATTCAAGAAGTTTAAGCAAAAATGGAATTACAGATTTATACAAGCTCGATCCACAAGCTTTTTTTTACACTTTTAGTCACTTTAGTTTATGCAATAAAGATATTTAATTCCTCTAGTGAAATTTAATTAGTGAGTGAATTCTATTGGAGAGCCTATGCCTTCAGAATTGCTAGGAACTAGAGAGCTTAACATTTTCTTCGTCAACACATTGTAGCTCCATCAGTGAGGCTTATACTCTAGCAGGATCATATTATGCATATGCCCTAAAGTTTTCTAGAGGATGAAGCTCAGATTGATTACACCAAACTTGAGAATTAGCAGAAAAGAAAACTATCATTACAAACTCCTCTAACTTTCTGAGAGGCTAAAATCTTCCCACAGCATATTGAATTCTTCCTTATCCCCACTGTGATAACTTTAGACTAGCCTACTCTGTCTCTCTCCTCCACCTCTTGTCCCATGTGACGGTTAGTTACAATCACTCTATTTCCTCTCTCTCTTTGGCTGCCATATCAGTACGTATCAGTAGGTAACGCCAACCTTGGACATCCTTGTACTATATTATCTCTTTGTTGTCATCATATAAGTCTCTAGTACCCATGGCCCAACAGCTACAAGTCCATCTGCATGCAACATATCTTGTACTCTAAAGCATATTCACACATTTACAAAAAGAAATGATAAAAGCCAAGAGAATTGTTTTCCAAAAACTACCTGTCTAAAAATGGCATGAGCATATAGTCATGAACCAGAAAGTCAATTGCCCAAGGAATGATAATCAACACCGCCAAAAACTTAGCCTGCAATAATGACATGGATATATAAAATACAGTCATTGCAAATAAATAACTAAAAATGTTTAATGAAGAAATTCTAATAGAAATGAGAGATCCTCCTAAAGAGGGAAAAACAATATGACATGAAAACACAGGTTCAAATATGTAAAAAGCAGCCCAATCCCTTACTTAACCCCAGATTTGCTGTTGATTGGTCGCCAAAAAACAAAAAAATAAAAACACAATCCCACCAAATATTTCCGAAGACCACATGAACAGTATAACTAAGAGGCTGCAACCATTATCCTATCCCTTAACATATCTAAGAGGCAAACTGCAAAGGTAAATTGAAAGTGCAGGCTATTTGATCAAACCAAATGCACCAAAAGACAACAGAGAACCACATTGGCACAATAGTTTGCGTTCTTTCTCTTAACCCCACAACAAAAACTACCAATTCTTGCTTGATTGAACCCGCAAAAACATCTTCTCAACAAAGATCACTTGGGTTCTGATATAAATCCTCGAATTCATCTCATATGCTATCTTGCCCAAGGGAGATTGTGGAAAGTTTTCTCAAATACCAAAGGATTTCCAGCATGCAAGTTGTTGTTGTTTCCTTTGCATAAATCAGAATCGTAACCAAAAACCAATATTGGAAAAAGGAACACATGTACTTACTGAATTTGATGAGGCATACTGAAAAACACGATCTTCATATAGCATGTCATCGTCTTCCCCTCCCAAAATCAAATACCTCAGAGACTCTACCAGCCCCTTTTCAGCAGAAGCAACATTAGAATCATCTCGCACCTTCTCCTCAGACTCCTTCGTCTCATTGTCCCAATCTTGACTCCAAGAAGAAATGTAATCCTGGTTGGTCTCATCCAAAAGCCAATCCCCCCATCTCCTGCGCTCTTCGTTACTCTTGTCTTCTTGGGCTTCCCTCAACTCTATAATTGCTTCAGCTCTCTGCCTCCACGCCTCAAACTTCTCTCCGTCAGATATATTTTCTGAATCTGAGCTATCTGACTCACCTTCAAGCATATCATCTTCCTTCAAACCAAGCCAATTCCCATCATCATCGAAAAAGAATTTCTTCCACCAACTGCTTTTCCTTGAATGGTTGTGCTTTTCCGCATTTGAAATAAACCCACTAAGCCGACTTCGTTTACTGCTCAACTGAATCACAAATTTTGATGAATCATGCAAAAACATGGAGTTCAAAGCCGTTTTCTGTTTGAAAAACATTAAGTTGTCGCCTAACACAATGGAAGTGCTCATTAATAACATAAATATATCCCCACATTGTTCAGTTTCTCAAAGCAACGAAGCACCAGAAAATCCTTGAAAACCCAAGTGAAGGCTCATTCTGCAACTTTTACTAGCAAACAAAACAACACATCTTAAAATATCCTGAAGAGAAAAAAAAAAAGATATTCCAAAATACAAGAGACGCCTCGCCTTTAAAATAAAATGCATTTATAGCCGAAATAGAAGACAGGAACTACCCAAGGTTTTTCGTGAGTGACGACGTCACCCCAGCCTACTCAAAGTCTCAAACTCCAGGGCACGGCCCTCGTGCAGCCACGTTTTCTAGATTATCCAATAAAATTTCGTATAAAAGGTAAATTCTTCATCCACTTCGAGATCCCCCGTCATGGTCATGGTCTCATGGATTGCTGATTCAGGTGCTTGCTATCGTATTCACTCTTTCTTTGATATAAGGCCCTAAAAAAACTGTACGGTAAGGATCAGTTTATATCAAAGAAAATAATTCCTCTCACTCCACCAGTGGGTAACAAAACTGATGGCGACTAGGGGTGCACATAGGTAGAGTTGGGTTGGGTAAGACCTTACCTAATGCCCTGCTTAAAGGATGCATGGGCTGAAAAATGTAGCCTGCTGCCCAGCCCTGCTCGCAAAATGCCCTATTAGCTTGGGCTGGGTAGGGCAAGCTAGACATCTTCAGGTCGCCCTGCCTATCAAATAATTTCTCTTTCCATCAACTTCAAATGAAACTACCATAAATCAATAACAATGACCCAGCCCATCAACTTAAAATAACATTCATAAAAATGTAAACTATAAATACAAAATAACAGCTATGATATCCAATTATCTATAATTCAACATCTAACTTGAAATATAAAACTATTATAAGTCTTGACACATAGTGAAATTATCCATAATACAATCCAAAATAATAGCTACAATAATCCATTAAAAACAATAAATTTTACAAAAGTTTGGAGCATCATGAAAAAAAAATAATTTCACAGAGTAGACTTTAATTTACAAAAAGCTTCTTCCCAATTCCTCTTTTCATCTTTCCTTAAATCTTAATAGTTAATATAATTAACCCTTTAAAAATTTAAAAAATATATTAATGCACTTGCCCTGCCCATGGCCCGGCCCTGCCCGAACAATGCCCTACCCAAACATGCCCAAGTCATGTCCGGCAGCTTTTTTTAGGGCCGAGTTTTGCAAAATTTTTTCGGGTTCGGGCGGACATATCGGGCAATCGGGCTACATGCACTCCCTTAATGGCAACTAAATTGTCCTCAAAGCATGACGAGTAAACTAATCAGCATATTTATTCTCTTATCTAAAAATATAATCGAAAGTTATAGTCTAATTTTTTGTAACCAAGTCTTTAATCTTATTAATAGTATTTGAAAGAGGGTGGTTCCAAGAGAATTTCTATTGAATCAGTGTCAGTGCTTTAACATTGAATAGACATTGACCTTAATGAAATTACTATTCCAACAGGGGTTAAAGCTTTCTATGATACAAATTTTGCATGAATATTGGGATAATAATTAAGATATATATAAAAATCCTTAATCCAATTTTCTTGATTATCTCATAGGATATCTCCACTAGTAATAGAGCCAGAACCATCATTATCCAATCTTATCTAGCCAAATTCAGGAGGGCACCATTTTGTATGAGCTCAATCTTGTCCCAAAGAATTGTTGTTGAGTTTTGAATGTAGATTGAGGTCATTGTTAATGTATTGGATGCAAAGATGTCTTTGATTGGGTAGTTTTTTTTCATAATAGATGAATTTGCATATTTCCTTTCAAATATTCTAACATACATGATGTGGCATCCTCATTCATAATTAAGGCTTTAGAATAATTAGAGCTTGATTTGGGGATTATATTAAGGATAATCATAGATCAGGATAGGGGAGGATCACAAAGTTGGGTTATTTTCAAAGGATTTGAGATTCTAGTCTCAACCACAGACGGATATGACCATGAAGGACCATGTCTGTTTGCAGATTGAGATAGAGAGAAGAGACTGGTGTCTCGACTCTTGATTGATCATGATTAAGGCAAGAGGAATGGACAACCATTTATGGTCTAAAGGTGAGTAGCCAAAATCGCCTTTTTACGTTTAACTGCATGTAGACGAGAGAATAACTAGCATGACTATTCGTGGTCATAGTTGCTAACTTGTTTTATATAGTGTTAAAGGTCATTTTGATCCCTTAACTTTACTTAAAAGGTCATTGGCATAGTAGAATCAACTATAGGTCAATGCTATTCTTCATTGTTAAATATTCCCTTTTTCATCACCTTGCCATTAACTTACCATTTGTTCATAGTGAATAAGCCCCACATTCATTTTTTTAAATGTTTTTTATTATAAAATATTTGAGTTCAAATTACTCATTAGCCCTTTAAGGTAAAGGTAAGAGGTAAAAATAATCTTTAATTCAATATTTTATAACAAAAAATATTTTAAAAAATTAAATGTGGAGCCCATTAATGGTGAACTAATGGTGGGTTAACAATAGAATGACGAGAGAGGTAAACTTTAACGTTGAGGGGCAAAATTAATTTATAGTTGAGTTTAGGGATAAAATTGAGGGAAAAAATGACCTTCAACCCAAAATCACAAACATGAGGGCTTGTAGAGAGAAGAGACACTATGAGTTTCAACCTAAATCGATGAATCCAAATCCCATACACTCAATCAAGCCCTCATGCTTGAGCTCTCTCTTCCCCTCCATTCCCATGCTGCTCTACAAGTAGAAATCAAGTCTTCAAATTCTACTCCCCTCTCGAACTTAGGTTGTCCTCAAGCTTTTCCAACATGCAAGGATGTCAACAAACTCAAGGGGTGTGAGATTTAGGTGTTGGTAAAAGACTTTTCTAGGTTTTGGATAAAAAACTAAAGAAGAATATGAGAAAAGAAGGAAAACCTATTTGCCAATGACGACGTGCTACCTCGACAATAATGGAAGCAACCTAGGTCAATGAAATTGATCATGTTGAGTCGCAAGCTTGGAAGCTAGAGGGGATGAGGAGGAAGGGTCAGGGGAATTGACATGTGGGTATGATTTTTTTATTTTAAATTTTTTAAATATGCCAGGTGGTTGGAAACTAGCAATTTAAAGTCAAATTAATAGTCAACATGCAGGTCCAACCTTGATAACAAGGCAACCTTGCACTAAATTGAAAAATGTTAGGGCACAATGAAAAACTTAAGGATATGAGATGTGCCTACATGAAAATTTTGAAGGTAGGTTTATACTTTAACCCTAAATTAGCTACAACAAAGTTCCATAGGGCTTGAGTGTATTTTCACAAATTTTTGAGACTTATTTATAAATAAATTTCTTATATGGCATATATTTGTAAGTTTTTCAATTTGCAATTATCATCTTAAAGTTTATGGAAAATGAAATTTTTTATACTTGAAATTTTCTTCCATTGCTAGTTTGGTCTTTTAAGTTTTAACTTTGATCTGAAACAATTCAATCCCTAAATTTTCTTCACTTGAAACAATTCAGTTTTTATAGTTTTTTGACATAGTACAATAATTTAATCTTTATAATTTCTTAATTCAATAAATTATAAGAAATTAATAAGTTGTATCAAATCAAAGTTCAAGAACTACATTGATAACTGAAAAAAAAAATTATAAACCAAAAATTATATTATTCCTAAAATTTATTAGTTATTTGAATCAGAAAATTAACTTGCGTTTTCGTATATTGCTCTAACTATTTACAAGAACCCTTTTAAAATTTACAAATGTCTTTTTGAAATTCATAAGTAAAAGAATTAGGATTTGAAGTTGGTTTCTTTCAATTAAATTTTAAAAGGGTGTTATAAGTTTAAAAAGTATAGCTATGACATTGCGATATAGAGTCGTGAATTCTAGCAACTGGAATAGTTGTAATTAGTAAATAGAATTGTTTAGTTAAAGCCAAGTTTATTTTGATTTTTTCGCTTGCAAATTTTTTTTTTTAAAAAAAGTGATTGTAATATGATATGATGTAGCTGTGAATCGTAAAAAGAAAAAAAGAAAATCCTTGTAAATGGATACTTTAACCTACAAAAACTCAAAATAATCTTTTGGTTTTAAGTAAAAAATAAATTTTAAAAAATGTAGTTATGATGGCGTTGTGATTTCTAACGGGGATAGTTTTAACTTGCAAATGAAACTATTTATTACTTGATGGAAACGATGTATTTACCCATTTGTGTTTTTCATGCTTTCTTATTGATGGCCACCCATGACATTTAGCTTTAGTGTACAATAGAAAGTCTTTTGATTTGATGTTTTGAAAAATAGTACTATATTCTTGTCACATTTAAGATATGATTAAGAACAATACGATATATTCTAATTTTCGAAAATAAAATGAAAAAGATAATGAGTTTCCAGAGACTTTTTTTTGTTAAATTTGCTAAAAAAATGTTTTAATCATGAAAAAAAATAATTCTTTTTTACGTAAAAAACTAGATTCTAACTCTTGTGGGAGAGAAAAAAACTATCACAAAATCACATTCTAATTAAAACATAATTAGTAATAAATAATACTATTAATGTTAGGTAAATTGAAAAATATTAGCACCCATACTGTTATAACATGAGTAAATACTACTCACACTTTTTATCTTGTTTTTCTCCGTAACATCCTGAATTTCAATTTAAAAAAATAGTTGCTAATCAAGAGTAAATTAATAATTGATTGATTGATTATGATTTGAGTGTTGGATTGACATATGATGTTGGTTGGCTATTATGTTAATAGGATCTAAGGGTGGAAGGATAGTTCGGGGACAAATGTGCATGTGAGATTAAACTCATTGTGCCAAGCATTACGGCAAGGGCTGTATGTGCTGCAGTGCATTGCACAGAAATTATTTAAAAGTTATTGTCTTCAGCTCATGAAATCAGAAGTAAGTGGGAAATACGTGTTTGGAGAAGAGAAGAAGTTCATCTCTGCTAGGACTTGCATTATCTAGTGATTGGGAGTCTACTTCGACTACTGAATTATCACATAAGTATCATACAACTCTAAGCTTCATTTTTATCTCATTTTCATTGAATTTGATCAGTTGATAAATCAAATCAGGAAGTTTTAAGGTGTTGGAATTTAAAAAGAAGGTTTAAAAAGGGTTTTCGAATACAAAAATAAGATTTTGTAACTAATCTAGAGTTAAATAGTTGAATTTCAAGAGTTTAAACTCAAAATAGCCTAAATAATTAGGTTAAAATTGAGAAATTGGTTGATTAGGTGAGTTAGAAGATTATTATGGTCATTTGGACAGCCTATAGAGCTAGTAACTATAAAAAATGGATTACATGAGTTCAAAAGGTTATAATTAAACTGTTTTATGTGTTAAGGGATTTGATTTAGCTAAATTAATACCCGTATAAATGTTGGGAATTGAT